AACAAATCCTACTAAATTCATGCAGCCAAGAAAAACTACTTTGCAATCTCCTCATATAAATAATGTTTCTGTAACCCTGGATAATATATCCCACCTTCAAACCAGGATCTGCTCCTAGGAAACCTCCTTCCCACACTGATACTGTGTGATTCTAGTAATTTCATGTCTTACACACATATGTGCACATGCAAATTTATTTGCATTGATAATCATTGAACCGATAAGAAAATATTTAATTTAACCTTCCTGCAGGAACATTATGGTGCCTTTGCAGCAACAAAAGTGTTTATACTGGTGTTCCACACACAGCTGGTGGTCAATAATTACTGATGGAGAGAGTTTGTGTAAAAGGACTCAGGCCATTCCATGGTCAGCCACAGCAAGAACAGAAAGAATATTTTTAGCATCATGTTTGAATCCTACCTGGCAAGTTGGAAATGACAATACTTCAAACCTGCACCAGGCAACTAAGGATGGTTTTTATTGCTGCCTCACCAGAAATCATACCTAATGGTTATTGGTATTCTGTGATTAATCACTGCAAAGGTAAGCAGGGCTCACTCATTCTCCTCCTTCATCTCCTTGCTGTTCTCAGTTCCTTTGTGTCTCAAGCACAATATTGTGTGTCAATATTTAGTTTAATTAAGAAGAGTTAATATAGAAAAAGATAATTTGTAATAGGTATCTTCAGTAAAAAAAAAAAAAATTGCACATTAAGCTCTCATGCCAGTGGCAAAAATAGCTTCATGAAGGCACGTGATTTGGTTTATCTAACAGTTCACTTCTTTAGACAGCTATAAATGCTAGGTTAGTCTTGCTTTCAGAGGAAGTACAGCATGGGGTTCCATTGGGAGCCTCTTCCTTTGGATGCGTGGCTCTTTCGCCACTAGGATCTCCTCCTGTTGGGATTCCACACACTGACCTAAATCCTATAGGATTCGACATTACAATAGGGAAAAATAATCCCTATTTTTCTCTACCTTTAATACTTTTCATCTCCTTTTCTTTTCTTCTTCTTCCTTTCTTTTTATTGATTTTTGGGAGGGTTTTTTGTTTTTTTGAGACAGGGTCTTATTCTGTCACCCAGAATACAGTGCAGGGGACTGATCATGGCAAACTATAGTCTCAAAGTCCTGGGCTCAAGTGATCCTCCACTCAAATGATTCTCCCACCTTAGCCTCCCAAGTAGCTGGGGCCACAGGTACACACCAACACACCCAAACAATTTTTAAAATTTTTTGTAGAGATGAGGATCTTGCTATGCTGTCCAGATTAGTCTTAAACTTCTGGCCTCAAGCAATGCTCCTGCCTTGGCCTCCCAAAGTGCTAGGATTACAGATAGGAGCCACCATTCCCAGGCTTTTCTTCTCCTCTTCTATAAACATTCAAAACACATTTGGGTCCTAAACACCTGATTAAAATTAGTTGACTAGGGGATAAAGAATTCATAATGGGGTATAAAACTGTGGTAGGGATAATGATGATGATAATGACTACATAGCTAATATTACTGAACAATTATTTATAGTAGGCCTGTGACAGATACTTAAACAAATATATTTTAATCTTCACAACTGTCAAGGTTGAAGTTATTATCCCCTTTTTACATATGCAAAAAGTGAAGCTTAGAAAAGTTAAATATTTAATAACTTCCCTAAGTTCACACAACTAAGACTCAAGACTGGGATTCCAATCTAGATCTATCAGAAGCCAAAACCCACTGACATTATAAAGCATGCATCTTATAAGTTCTTTTGTTAAAACTGGTTTTAACCACAGTTTTTCTAAAACTGTACTTAAGCTTGATTTTATTATCAATGTCTATCACAGTAAATTTATACATTTCCATTATAAAAAATTCAGTTCCCCATTTAAAAAGTGGAGAAAAGACATAAATAGTCAAAAGAATAAACAAAGCAAAGATTAAATTTCAAGTGTTCAAAACAAAGAAAATTCAAGAAGAAGCAACCAAGTTATGTGGTGTATATGTACAAGCCACTGTAAGAACTCAAAGATGAAGATAGCATTGCCCCTGCCCCCAAGAAGCAAATGATCTAGGGAAGGACGCAGGATAATATTTCACATCTTACTTCACATATCACCTCCTCAGAGAAGTCTTCTCTGACCACCCTGTCTAAACTGTGACCTCATTCCCTGTCACTGTCGGTTGTAGGGTCCAGAAAACTTTTTCTGTGAAGGGCAAGGCAATCAATAATTTAGACTTTGTGGATTCTCTGCCAAAACTACCCAACACTGCTGTTAATGGTGTAAAAGCAGCTTTAGACCATTAAGTAAATGAATGAACAAGGAAGGCCTGTATTCCAATAAAACTTAATGTACAAAACAGGACATAGCCAAATATAGCTCATAGGTCATAGTTAACTTATCTCTGTTTTTACCGTTAATAGCATTTAACGAAATCTGAAATTATCTTGCTTATTGATTTGTTTACTGTTTATTTCCTGCTGCTAAAATGGCAGCTCTAGGAGAATTGGATCTTGTTTCCTGTTAGCTAGGGCCTCAAAGCAGTGCACTCTAAACATTTGTTGACTGACAAAATGAATGGATGCCACTTTGTAAAAACAGAAACACAAATTGCCGATGGACATGTGATCTCAGTTTGGCCTCGATAATAGTAAGTTGAAGTTATTATCCCCTTTTTAAAAATACATTGTTTAAACAATAAATAAGTATTTTTTACTTGTCAGATTTATAATCATTAGAAGAGCAAGAGAAGGAGGAGGAATATTAGTACAGATGAGTATGTGGATAAACTGGTCCTCTCATCTACTGCTGATAGGAGAGAAAATTGGTGCAACATTTCTGGATGGTCATTTGCTGTTATACAATAAAATGTACACACCAATTTAAAAATGGACAAAGGATTGAACAGACATTTCTCTAAAGTTAGAGAATGTCAATAAGTTCATGAAAAGACGCTTAACATCATGTCATTAAGGAATGCAAATCAAAAATCACCACTGTTACACCCATTAGGATGGGTATAATAAAAAATAAAAAATGGAAACTAATGAGTGTTGGAGAGGATGTGGAAAAATCGGAGCCCTTGTGTTTTGTTGGTGGGAATATAACTTGCTCAGCTGCTGAGGAAAAGAGCTTGCTTCTCAGAAAGTTAAACAGAATTTATCATGTGACCCAGCAACTCCACTCCTGGGCATAAGCCCCCAAAAGAATAGAAAGCAGATACTTGTACACCTATAGTCATAGAAATATCATTTACAACAACCAAAAGGTGGAAACAATCCAATGTCCATTAACAGATAAGCTGATAAAGAAATGTGGTATATACATACAATAAAATATCTTTCATTGGATCCTGTAATTCCTTTACTAGGAGTATATCCAAAAGACCAAAAATCACTATGCAAAAAAGATATCTGAAGCAGATTATTCATTGCAGCTCAATTTGTATAGCCAAGTCATGGAAGAAGCCCAAGTGCCCACTGACCCATGAATGGATTAATAAATTGTGGTATATGTAAACTGTAGAATACTATGCAGCCTTAAAAAATATGGAGACTTTACCTCTTTTATATTTACATGGAGGGACTTGGAACATATTCTCCTGAGTAAAGTATCTCAAAAATGGAGGAAAAAGTATCCAATGTACTTAATACTTCTATGAAACCAACTTATACTTACTCATATTTTCTTATGAAAGATAAGACACAACTATAGCCCAGAATGAAGAAGAGAAATGGAGTGGGAAGGAAGGGGAGGGGAGAGGTTGATAGAGGGAGGGTAATTGGTGGGACCACACCTATGGAGCATATTGTGGGTACAAGTCAAATCTATCAAGTGTAGAACATAAATGCCTTAACACAATAATCAAGTAAATGAGGCAAAAGCTATGTTAATTAGTTTGATGTAAGTACATCAAATTGTATTTAAAAATCAACACATTGTACTCCACATATGCATAAATGTATTCATGATCTATGTGTATATGACTTAATTTTAAAAAAAAGAAATATCATTCAATCTTAAAAAGAAGTAAAATACTAATGCACACTGCACCATGGACAACTTGACAACATTGTGAACATCATGCTACATGAAGTAAACCAGACACTGATTCCATTAAGATGAGGCATCCAGAGTAGGCAAATTCATCAAGACAGAGATTAGTATGGTGGTTACCAGGAGTTAGGGAAAAGAGAATGGAGAGTTACTGTCCAATGGGCATAAAATTTCTATTTGAGATAGTGAAAAAGTTCTGCAGACAGATGGCAGCGACGGTTGCCTGACATTGTGTATATACTTAATGCCACTGAACTGTACATTTAAAAATGATTAACATTGTAAATGTTTACATTATATGTATTTTTCAATGTGAAAAATGTTATGTGGACTTTTTTTCCTCTAAAATCAAATTTCTAAGAATTAACTCTGAGGAGATGATGCGGACGGGTGAAATACTTAAGTACTAGAATCCACAAAGTCCGAGCTCCATTAATAAAGATCCAGTTATGTAAACCTTTTTTACATACTCACGTAAATTTGTCTCACCTGGCACAACACATACACGAAAGAGACTATTATTCAGGCATTAAATACGACAAGGTAGACTTTTCATACAAAGATGCCTCTATGGAATTGTTCAGTAAAAAAAAACAAGTTACAGAATGTTTGTAAATCTTAAAATCTCACTGATACAAAAATTCTAAAGTATTTATACATGGAGAAAATTCCAGACAGTCTCCAAAAGCTAATAGACATTATTCTCTGAACAGCAGATGTGAGATGATTTTTAAATTATCCTTTTTATAATTTTCTGTACTCACTGAATTCTTTTTTACAAAGACTATTTTAACCAAGATAATACACTATTATAAACTCATGTTAATCACTTTTTTACATTAATTTAGATGGGTTAGGCCCTTGATACTTATAATTAGATGTTTTCTGTATTTCCCTTTTCATAGTAATAATAATTCTTGTGAGTCAATCAGATACTGTTTTAAAGGAGAAGTACATACCTCAGATAGCGGTGTTGATACTTTATCACTCAAAAATAGAGAAATTATTTCAGAGCAACATCCAATAATCATGCGCTAGAAATAAGAAGAAGGTAATATAGTAAGGTTGATAAATAATGGTAAAATATTGCATATTTAACTTTAAAATATTTTATTTCGTTTGTCTTTTCTTGATCATCACCACACCCTTGTTCCCAAGATGAGACAGAAGGACTCAGAAGTCACAATCCCTTAAGTAATTAGGCTTATTCAACTAGTAGTCAGATAATTCTATGTATAGAATGGCCACAAAATATAAGATCTGCAATTAATCATGAATAATATTTTATTTTAGGATTTTTCCCCTTACACATTCTCTGTTAGTAAGTTATAGAGGAATAACAAGTAAAGTAATTCTCACCAAAATAATATTTTGAAAAATCACTTTTTCTTCTGAGCCGACGCCTGGAATAAAGAGTTTCAGATCCCTGAAAGGGGTTGACCAGAAAAGAATGGGGATTGAGAAGGAAGGGAGAGGAGTGAACGGAAAGGAAGTGAGCAGGCCGGCAGCGTGCCTCATCCTCTATCGTGTGGACACAGCCACCTGTGTGCCCCTCGTCCACAAGGGACTTACCCATAGGCAGGGTTGAATCCTCCAGATTCCCTGTCATTAGGATTTTGTGTAAGGAAGGACAACAGAGGAGAATGAAAGTTAGTTCTGGCTGAAAGGAGATGTCTTCCTGTGGAGTTGGAGGGGCAGCCATTGGCCAGGATGTGAAGAGGAACAGAGCTTGGAACCCAGGGCTCCTGGGGCCCTGAGCACAGCCTAGGTTCTCTACCCACCAGTTCCATTCTCCTTGAGGCCCACGATGTTCCCTTCCCAGTCCTTGTCTGTGCAGGAGCGCACCTACTGCGCCCTGACAAATACTGCCTTCCCACCAAGCTATAGTTGAGCTGGTGTAAGCAGTTTGGTCTTCACTGACAACAAAGGCAGTCATAACCCTGAGCCTGTCAGGGATGCTGTGCCTCCTGCACCAGGTTGCCAGTGTCCAGCCCAACAGAAGCAACAACTGGCTGTGATGTTAGTTTTCATACATGATGTACTACAGTCTCAGAATACTCAAATGATAAAGGTGCCTTAATTTTAAAACTATAACTGGGTAATGCTGGTTAAAACCTTACAATAAAGAAGCAAAGAGCACCTGAACTCACAGCCCAAACCCTTGTTATATCTCACATTTAACAGTAGCATAAACATGAAAAAGGGATCAAATTTTAGAGTTCCCAAACTACAGATAATTCAATCCTATTTAACATATTCAAAACATTATACTAGGTGCTACGGGACACAAAGATGAAGGAAGAGACCCTCTCCTTACAAAATTTACAATTACTGAGAAAAGTAGGTGAGCACATCTAAATAAAATGCCAAGTAGAATATGGTCAGAAGATAGGTAAGTAGGACATGTCACAGGATCCAAGGGGCAGAAGAGCGTAATTCCTCATACCAGGACAGGGAAGACCTCCTGGAAGAGGAGTTATACAAACTGATTCTTGAGAGAATAGTAGGATTTCAACTGGCACAGAACAGGGACCCAGCTACTGGAGGGGAGAGAGCTGCACCCACACAGTGGGCAGTGGCCATCGGAGCGGCACAGAGAATGCATATGGTGTTCACTTCAGGTGTGTAGGAAGCATGGCAGGGAGAGTGGTGAGAAAGGTGTCAGGGAAAGTTTAACAGGTTATGTAGAAGTAAGGAATTTGAATTTTATTGTGTAGAATATTGAAGAGGACTGGCCTGACGGAATCATGGAAGGGATTGCTTTTGTGTTTGCTTTGAGACAGAGTTTTACTTTGTTGCCCAGATGAGAGTGCCTTGGCATAAGCAAGCTCACAGCAACCTCAAACTCCCAGGCTCAAACAATCCTCCTGCCTCTGCTTCCCAAGTAGCTGAGACTACAGGTGCCCACCATAAGGCCCAGCTAATTTTTCTATTTTTAGTAGAGATGGGATCTCACTCTTGCTTAGACTGGTCTTAAACTCTTGAGGTCAAGGGATCCTCCTGCCTCATCCTCCCAGAGTGCTAGGATTTCAAGCATGAGCCACCATGCCTGGCAGAGATTACTTTAAAAAGATGATTCTGACCACAGTTTCAAGTCAAACTAGATGGGAAGGTGATAGGAGAAAGAGAAATCAGACAGGAGGCTATTCAGACTGGGCAGGAAGCAATTGTGGCTAGAAGTCGTCCAGCTTCAGCTGTTCTAGAAAGGATGCAGGGCAGACAGGATTCTCAGCAATGATTGGGGTGTATCCCCCTGTGCTGAACTTCCCAGGACCCTGTCTACTTTACTAGACAGAGGGGAACACATGTCCACTCCCGTACTCCCCTCATTTGTCTATAGTTCTGACCAAGTTCTTAGGACTCATTAAAGTATGTTTTCTCTGTATATGTTAAAGGTTTCAATAACAGCCATGATGGCTTACCGGCATGATTTCATCTAGAGCTATCAAGCAAAATGACAATGTCTATATCATTAATCATTTCACATAACAGATGAAGAGAGCAACATTGCTTGATAAATGCCTTCTGCTGCCTTGTCTCAACATCTATCAAACAGAAATTTCACCTTGACAACATCCTATTACTGTGGCATTATTTGAGGGAAACCACATATGCACGTTCTGAAATGCGCTGACTGGAGGTGGGGCTGACTGTACCTCGTGTGACCTTGCTGCCACAGAAACAAAGGGAGGAAAGACTCAGAGCTCACGGGTCCTGGTCAGAAAGGGGTTGGAGGCATGCTGTGACTGGGGAGGGACCAGGAGGGCGCAGAATGACCCTTGCTCAATTTTTGTCCTTTCTCCTTTAAAAGAAGCATCTGTGAGGGATGGCCCACTGGGTGCCTTCAAAATAGGAAAGCCAATTCCTGGGTGGAGTCAAAATCCACATAAACATCCTAAATTGTTTCCTGGCCCCCAGACTCCTGCTTCCCCCAGCTTTCCTTCACATGCTACTCTGTTGTCTTAGCAAATCACAGGGTGAACCAGAAGACATCCTTCCAGACGCAGTGCAGCCTACCTCCTCCTGTCCCCAAACCTAGCCCTGCCTTCCCACAACCTTTTCCTACAGAACCAAGTTCATCTGCCATTTATTCTTTCAACATCTATCGAAGGCCTTCTATATGCCAAGAGGTGGGAATAGGAGATGAACAAGGCACAGAGAGATCCTTAAACAGCTTGGTGCAGTGAGAGCAGTAGGAGAGACAGACTCTTACAGCACTCTGTGGCGAGGTGGGAGAGGAGGAAGCACTTATTTCCATCCATCCCCTCAGCGCCACCCCACTCCACTCACCCTGTACTCCCCCCAGATGCCTGCTTATCCCCTGAATAGCAGAGTGAGTTCCAGAACTTGCTGTCTCGTGTCTTACTACAGCTACTGTGTGGAGTATGTTCTCTCCACAGGTGTCCAACTACTACAAGTTCTACAAGCAACTATTGGAGAGGCAATGTGTTTCAGTTACTGGGCCAGATATTGGAGACATAGAGATAAATAAGACCCTCAAGCAAAGACATTCACAGCTGAGAGAAAGAGATACATGAACAGCTAATGACCAAAACCATATAGTAAGGCCTGAGATGCTTGGGGGTGCAAAGAAAAGTAGCCTATGCTGTAGTCTGCAGGTGCTATAAAATGTTCTCAGAGCTATTTAAGCAATTACAAAGCCCAGCTCAACTTCCTCAACACACACCATCCATGTAAGATTTAAACAATAGTAAACTGGGCTACTTTGCATCAACAGCCCCGCTGTGGAGAAGGATGGATTCCAGCAACTTCACTTTTCGGTGCCATACAGAATCTAGGTAATGAGGAAAGAGGAAAGCTGGGCAAAGTCAGAGGCACTGAGTTGAACTGCATAGTAAAGGGCAGAGTGGGAGTGGGAAGGAGCGAAGCAACAACACAGTCTGTGCAGGCTGAGTCGGAGGGATAGTTGCAGGAGTCTGAGCCAAAGGAGACAGATGTTGGACGGCTGCTGTGGATGCCAGGGAGATGTGAGAGTAGAACAGCTGGGGAAAAGAGAATTAAAGAAAAACAAAACTCTGTGTGTTACAAAAGGATCCCCCACAAGATGCTCCTAAGAGAGACCCTATAAAGATATGGATTATTTTCAGTGGTTTTGACCAACAGACTGATGTTTCCTGGACTGCCACCCTTTGCCAAGACAGAGCTGTCCGTGGCTGGGCTCACTGTGGATGACATCTGGGTACCCACGGCCACACACACACCATGACTAAGTTCCTCCATGACGGGAACCTCACTGTATCGGCTATGTCCTCACCTCCCAAACCTGAAACACATTTGCATATAATAGTTTCTCACAAGAATTTGATGCAAGTTTGCAGTTGTATTGGGCTTGATATTTTCACAGTACCTTGGTATTGGGGATATGCTGCCTATATACTAATTTTGATTGCTTTGTACAATCCAGACATTCCATACTTGTTTGTTGAACTGACCTTAGGTGACCCAGCAAACATATTTTAAGTTTTTATATCAGTACACTGTCATTCCAAAGAAAGTGCCTCAGCCTTAAAATCAGGATAGTTTGCATCTTTCAAATGCTTTATAGCACCTGATAGGCTCTGAACATTCTCCTTAACTGTGAATGACAGAATAAAATAACTGTCATTCTGAACTGATGTTCACGGTAGAGGAAGGTCATAGAAGATTTTCAAACCAAAAGTGATTAGAACACCTGTTCTGAATATATCTGAAATTAATATCTGTGATCTGAAGTTCTTGGCTTATTCTGGACCCAAGGGATTTTGAGGGTAAAAAAAAAAAAAAAAAAGAGGAAAAGAAAAGAAAGAGAACAAGATTCACTACCTCCCATATCAAGCAAGGCACATTTTTAAAGATCCTATGTTCAGTAGCCCACAAACAATCTATGCTGTTATAGAAATAAAGACATTAGATGATAGAAGTTATGAAATCCTGTCCAATTCTGGACCAGAACTGATCTCTTCAAGTGTCCTAGTTAACTCCTAATTAGCTCCAAGTGAAGGTTGTCATGACAACAGCCTAACAGATTTAGTCAATGGGATTTATTTCATATAACCTGGAATCCAGCTTTTTCTTTTTTAAGTGCTAGTTAGTATTGTGGGGAAAAAAAAGACAAATTTATATAGTGCTTCGTTTCTTAACTTGCAAATGCTATGAGCTACTTTTCTTGCCAATTTGCCTAAACAAACATCAGTGTTCCTTCCGTTTGGGGTCTCTCCTGCTGCTCTCCTAAATGTTCATTCACGTACAGACCTAACAGAGCTGGGACAGCTATCTAAAATGGCCCATTTTAAAGCTGATGATTTCACTTTCTAAGTTGAATCATTTAAAAAAAATTCAAAAACACAAGGAAAAACATCAAAATTGAAAGGAGTTTGCTCTGCCTGGGGGGTGACCCCCATGCACGTACTGTTCCAAGACATGAAAGCAAGCCACAAACCTTCCTTAAGGCAAGGTGGGTTAAGTAACCTCCCCAGCTTACTTTCAAACACCCTAGTCCCCACTTATCCCTGATTTGTTTATATCAAGCCCACCTCCTGGCTCAGGTGCAGGGCTCCTACTCATGAATTTGATATCCCCACCAGGAAGTTCTGGTGACTTTCTTTCCACCCAAAGAGTCCATCTCTGTATCTCAGAGCAGTATTTATTATCTCAGAGCATTTATTTTAAAGAAGAGAGGAAAACCCGGCACAGGAAAAGAGATCAACCCCGGGTAGTAAAGTTGAGTGGCAGAGTGTACTCTAGAATCCTTACTCTCACAGATGCTCACTGTCCTGCCTCACACATCTGAGCTGAAAAGACAGATGGGTTCAGGAGAAAATAATCATTTTCCATACACAAAGTGTACAGTAGTAGACTTCGGGATAATTTCTGCAAAGAATATTCCACACCATGGCTCAAAGACAGCAATCTGGTAAGTCTGGTCTATGGCTAAAAAACTGATCGTAAGTGTTCCACAAAAGAAGTATAAAAATGAAAAGTGAGCCAAACTCTTCTTGGAAATAGACAAAAAGGGCAACTGTGCACTTTATAAAAGAAATATATATCTATATCTATAGTGATAAAATCTACTAGGTTTGAGATAGTTTGAGCTATCTGATCTCTTGGGGGATTTATTATAAGCACTCTCAGCATGGTCATTAAGTATTGTAACTCATGTTATAACATCTGAGGATACTGAAAAAGATGTGCAACCAAAATGTGAAGACGTCCGCACAGTGATAAATCCAGGCACGGGGCATGGAAGACATAAATGCTGGAAAGGGGCATTTTACAAAGGCTAACTGTACTTGCCTGGTGGATTCTCTTACAATGGGGCTTGCTACTTCTACAATAACGAAAAATGCATTCACTCACTCTACTAGTAAACTCAGATTCAAAATGCCAACAAATACACTTTGAGAATCAGGAGAGTTACCAACTTTTATATGTTTACATCATAAAAGTGCATAGATGATGCAAACAAGGAAACAAAGAGCCATACCAATAATATTCTGAAGACTTAAAGATATTTTGTTATTTAGTAACCAATTAAATATTAACCTAGCAGAGAAATGATTTGAGAGGAAAAGCTATACTAGACCAGAAATTCAGAGAAGATCTTAAAAGGTTTCAGAGAAGAAAAGCAGGCATGGGGCTCCTGTAGCTGGGAATCCAACCCAAAAAGTGGCACAGGGAAAGTCCACAAGCAGAGGTAGGCAGCAGGGATTAAGGGCAACCAGTCTGCAACGGGGGCAGGAGGGTGGGGGGAAAATGAGATCAAAATATTTGATAAGTATGAAAACCTAAGCAAAAGTCTATAGATGAACATATGAAAGATCTGCTACAATTATGGAGAAAAAACTCAGAATAAAAGACAAGCCAAGAAAATCCAAACATACAAGAAAGGAACATAATTATACTACTTGGCTGTGACCATCATTTACAGGGGTCATAACAAGTAAGCATTGAATATTGGTTTAACTAAATTTTGTGATATAATATTTAGAAGGGCAGGGAAAAGAGGACGTTAGGGAAAAGTGACACAGGACCCTCCCACTCAAGGATGGACAGGGACCCCTCCATTCTCTAGGCCCAGGTGAGCTCAGAAATCAGACCCCCATTTCCAGGCACAAACAGGCTGCCTTTTCCAGGCCACACCCTCTGGGCTCTAGCAAGGTCATGAACAAAGCAGCCTGAGTCATTTTGGGCTAGTTCCACCTTGAGTAGGAAGCACACACCCTAACCCCTTCTATGAGACAAAAACCATAAGGACCTGATAACCTTGCCCTAGTGGAAGAGGGACTACATTCATTCATTTGTTAATGTACTCATTAACTTTGAAAAGATGTCTTTCCACCTACCAAGTCCTGGACAAAAAATGTAAATAGACCCCTAGACAAAGGGCCCAAGAAAGATTTTTTTCCTTGGGTCTTTCCCTTTGCTAGACGCTCTAGTGCTTTTTACTCCTGATGTATTCCTTTCTGTCTAATAAAAATGATCCTGTCTTACCACTGATCTGTGGTCTGTGGGTTCATTCTTCGAATCCCTGAGACCAAGGACCTCCTGAGGAAGAAATTCTGGCATCAAAAGTGTGAGCTAAATCCTTATGCAGTAGAATCTCTGTAAGTTGACCACTCAAGGTACTGAAACAAACTGGTCAACATACAGAGGTGGTCAGCATAACTAGGCCTTCTGTACTGATGCATACCTGAGGCATATGTCCAGTCTATGAAAATGAGGTCAACTAAGGAGGTGGTCAATGTAAGGAGGTGCTCAATTGTGCAGGTTCTACTGTATACCACAACTAAGAGTCAATAGATATTATCTAAAATTGATACCTCAAGAAAAAGCAATGATTCCTCTGCATATATAACTTTCCTCCTTTCAAGCTGGTAGCAGAATTACTGGTGTAGCGGACAGTTTATTTGGCCAATAAAACGTTAGTGGAAGCGATATGATGGGAATTTTATGAGCCAGGATGCGATTTCCTCCCCCTCTCTTCCCTCTGGCCACAGTGACTGCCACTGTTCTGCATCACAGATGCTGGCTCCAAAACAGGAGACACCGAGGAGGCCTCCAGCCAACCCTCGGACTTGGAGGCTATTTGTTCCCCCCAACTTTCATGCCTGATACTGCATATTATTTGTAGATGCAGAATCACATAAAAGAAATACCAGAAAGAGTTGAATATGGCTGCCCCTGCAGAGTAGGGAAGTGGAATAGAAAAATAGTGGGCAAGAGGCTGCCCCCTTTTTATTTTAAACCTTCTGGATCCATTTTTTTAATGGCCACAATAAATACAGTATATACATCTTGGGAAACTGGATTAATGTATGAATGAAAATTTCAAGAACGGGTAATTAGGAGCGAACACATATTCTTTGCCCCTTTTGCTTCCAGGGAGAATAAGGAATTTCCACTCTTCTCCTGTAGACAAACAGACAATTCCAGCTTCTCTTGGACCCATCACTAATTTATCCCCTGGAGGATGAAGTGACTTATCTGATTGGTGTAAGTTTAGGGAAAGCAATAGAAGGTGTTAGGCTTGGCCCCTTTTGGGTAATCTTTGTTTACATTTTTTGAAGGCACCTTACCTGCAGGACTATTATTCTCTGCTTCCCCCATGCAGTAGGCTTGGCGGGAGGCAGAGGGAGAACCGGAAACCCTGTGGTTACATGGATTGTGCCAGATGACTGTGCGACCAGGTGGGCAAGTCTGGATGATTCAGTGGTAAAATATTAATGAGCTCATTTGGCTACAGATCTAAAGCCATGTTCTCCCATCAGCTTTATCAGCGATGATGCTGACATTTTAATCTCCATAGATTTGTCTTCTGTGCCCTATTTCTCAATGGGTTAAGAATTCAGGAGGGGAAGGAAAACCATTCTCTTCCCCAAAACACACACATCAGTCATCACAAAAAAACTTAGCTGTGCAATCAAATTAACAGTATACTATACAGATAATATCCCAGTGTTTGATTAGAAAAACACATACACTCAGAAAAAATCTGAAAGATTACATGACTATCTGTATATTCCAATTTTTCTTCACTTATTACTTAGGTAATAAAAATGTTTAAATAATAGAGTGTGAGTGAAAAAGTGAAAATAATATTATAAAGTCACAAAAAACTGTTTCTTGGGATTCACAGTTTTGTCTGAATGACTTCCCTGGATTGGTTTTGTTTTCATTCACCGTCAGATTCTTGTAATCATGTGCTTAGAAGAGCTTTGAACTACGTATGTGCCAAAAGTTTGGGTCATGTCTGGTACTCTCAGTAGAAAAAACAGAGGTCCAGAGATCCATGAGTTCACGTGTAGTTAGATAGTTCTGCTTTGATGAAGTAAAATATAATTTAAATAATTATAGGTGATGACATCCATCCTCCAATTGCAATGCCATTTTCCATTATTTAATAACTTACCTCCATTTCCTTATCAATTGATTTCTCTTCTGTTTCATCCACTGGAGATACATCTTCATTTGAAATAATTTCAGGAGTTGCTGGCAATGATATTTCAGCTATTTGCACAAGATTGGATATTTTCTCATGAATTTCAATAACTCTAAAAATAACACATATACATGCATTTTATTTACAACATTAAGAAAGGCATTTGTTTATTTGCAGAACCATGTGTACAATGTTAAGTAAGCCCTCAGTTATTTAGTCATTAGATTTCTGACACTGCCAAACATCATTCCTTCAATCAAGAAACACGAGCAAAGAGACACAATCTTAACTTTCATAATGTTTGGGGTCTTGTTCTACACTCAGATAAATATATAACTTACAAATTGGAAAAGATGCAATGAAAGAAAGGTACACAGCCAAAATACTGCTGGAGATGAAAATAGGAAAATATGCATCTTCGTGGGCAAAGTCTAGGCAAGCACGACAGATTTACTCAGATGTAAATCTTAAGGGCAGGCTAGGATGATCTGGCTGCCCTGAGGTAGGTTAGAATCACAAGTTAGCAATGACTAAAAGGCCAGTCAAGGTGTCCACAGCAATTCAGTGCAATAGAGGGAGGAACCGAGAGGGAGGAAGAAGAATCAGGAAAAACAGAAAAACAAAAGTCAAAGAGGAAGGCAGAGGACACAGCGGCAATGATGCCAAAGACAGAAAGTGTCAGGGCCACGGGGGGGGGGAGGGGGGGGGGCAGTGAGCAGCTGATGCTCTGAAGGCAGAGGTGGGTCAGCGGCCTGGGAGCAGAAAGCTGAAGATTCAAAGGTGGAAGGAGCTGCATAGCCACTTGTGCGGCCCTCAGTGACTACACCGTGGACATAGCTGCACCTGCAGGGGCATGCAGGGGTGTGCGTGTGTACGTGCATGCGTGTCTTCATTCAAGGAAGGAGGAAAAAGAAGTAAATGATCCCGAAGCAGACTGACCCCCCAGGTACATACGAAGAATGTCAGTCCTATTTTCCCAGCACCCTCAACTTAAGCATGGTGCAATACTTGGCGAAACTAGTGAGGGTTCTCAGCAAAGTAAAAAACACCTTTAATCATATGTAAGAGGATTTGAATGTATATAGTATGATTCAGAAGCTTTTCTATTAAAAAGACAGGAATTGAAATGGAAAGATCTGTGGTTAAAAGTTTATTTGGAAAACATACCCATTTAAGAAACAAATGGGTCGTCAACAATGTTGATGGGGCCCTGCAGACAGCACCGGTGGGCTCACAGGACCCACACTCCTCCTTCCACACCAGCCAGGGGACGCAGAACAGTCACTCAACCTCTCTGACCCTGCAGTTCCTTCTCCGACAAGACTAGAATAATAAAACCCACTTCATCCAATTCAGAGGGCTTTTGTAAGGTTGAAAGGACACGACCATATAGATTCTTAGCCCTAAGAGACCACATAAGGAAAGATGGTATTCTAAAACTCCCTTCTTTATTCTAATACCTGGAGAAAGAATTCTTATTTTTCTTCCAAAAATAGCATAGCTTTCCTTAATAATTCTTGGGATTCTAGGGAGGATAAACTATTCTATGACTGTTAATGAGTGTCTAGAACTGTACTGTCTGTACTGCCAGAGTGAACAGCTCAGTCTAGCTCCATAAAGAACAGTCTGGGACTGGGCAGAGCCGGCTGTGTCCTGGTGCCAGGAGCAGCATCAGATGACCTGGAGTGTCAGCATTAGGCCTGGCCCCTGTGGTCTCACCTGCCCTACAACTTGCTTCTTTCCTTTGTCCTTTGTCCTGCCTCTGCCCTGACCTCCCTTACTCTCCCCCATCAGGCTCAATGCTGGGTCCAGCTTTTTAGACCCTGGCACCATAAACTAGCATCCAGCAGCCTGCTTGGGCTAGACCAGCTCCCTTGCTCTCACTGACTGACTCCTGGGCACTCTCTCACCCTACCTGCCATCACCTAGAGGGCAGGACCCGGTTGGAAGTAGCGAAGTGAATGCTAGGAAGTTTAAGGGCAGAGGCAGTAGGCAGAGAACTTGATCTTGGTCTCAAGAGCATAGCTACCATTTAGATAGAACTACATAGAAACTTTTATACATGTCTATTGAGAATATTATCTTTCCCTTTGTTGCTGTAAGAAAAGTACAAAGAATTAAAATATATTTTTCCTTATGAGAACTTAACTGGGAGACAAGGAAATGGCCAATGAATTGTAGATTTCCCCATTTGCAGGTTTTCCAAATTCATTGTTTTCTGGTCAGTCTTTCCTGATCTGTTTTACTTCTATTCTGTCTTTTAAAGGACAATCAAGACCAATTCCCCATGTACTAATTTTGAGCCTAATAAGAACACAAGGAAAGTCACTCTGGGTGAAAGAAATAGTCCATTTTCACAGTGCCACCAGAAGATGGGTAGGTGAGGGATTGTCAGGTCCTGTTCCCTATGATGGCCTCGGGAACAGGGGACAGGGCTTGTCCCCAATTTTAATAACCCTACTATTGATTGCACACCAAAATTAAAAACTTTTTGGAATAAAGAAGCTTAGTAGGTTCGATGACTTTCTACTTGGTAGAAATTATAATCATTTTTATTATGAGGTTCTGGGAAAAAAAAAACCTACCATGTTTCTGAATTTACAAGGGTAGTGGATAATTTCCTGAGTGTGTTGCTTAGTTGTACTGGTATACGGCCAAGGTTTTCTGCCATTTCAAAGGAAGGAAGAGAGGGAGGGAGGAAAGGAGAGAGAAAGGGAGGAAGGAAGGAAAGGAGGAAGGAAGGACAGATGGAAGGCAGGGGGGAGGAAGGGGAAATTGATAATTGAAAGTATGCCAGCTCTTGAAACAGGCCTTTATTTATTCTCTCTCACAGCAAAGCCAAGAAATCACCCACAGTGAAAATCATGGAGCGTGAACAAGACTCTCCAGTAAAGGACAGAGAAGCATCAATTCTCCGTTCACAGAGCAGGGCAAAGAGCTGACCATAGACACAGGCATTAGTGTTCTCAACTTTTCAAAACATGTTCATTCATTGCCTTGCTTGATCTTACAATAACCCTAAAATGCAGGCATAGTGCATATTATCATTCCTTCTTACAAGGGAGGAAATAGAGGCTGAGGTCAGAAGGACAAAGAACAATAGAATCAAAACTAAACTAGCTATATACATGAAAAAATAAACAAACAAATGAAGAATTTGGTAGAATGAAACAAGAAAAGAGAGAAACCAAGTGAAGCAAAAGCTAGAGAAGTACCCCACGTGGTGGAGAGGGAGGAACACCACCTGGCCAAAGCAGTCACTTTGACTTTGGAGCAACATAAAACAGGACTGGGAGGGAGGGAAGGGAGGGGCATGGCAAGTGGCAGAGTTTGGGCTTAACTTTGCAACCCTGTACAGAACCACATGAAATTACTTTTTAACCACAGTTAAAATATGGGACATAGGACAGACAACATCCTTGTATTCTCTGTAATCTCAATGAAGCATCTCAAACTGTCCCTTCAACCATCCTAAGGACTATACTATTACTGTTATTAGTCGCATCTTGCCCATCAGGAAACTGAGGCACAGAGAGGTTAGGTATTAAGTACTAAGTACTATACTTGGGTTCCCAAGGTGGCAAAGGTAGTAAGGAGCCCAGCTGGCATTTGAACCATGGCAGGCTAGATTCAGAGTTCATGCTCTTAACCACGGCAATACAATATTCCTCTAAACCAGTGATTCTCAACCTTCCTAATGCCACGACCCTTTAATACAGTTCCTCATGTTGTGGTGACCCCCCAACCATAAAATTATTTTGGTTGCTATAATTTTATGCTTGGGCGTCACCACAACATGAGGAACTGTATTAAAGGGTCATGGCATTAGGAAGGTTGAGACCACTGCTCTAAACAAAAGGAAGGTTATTCTAAGTGTGTCTTTTTAAAGGTTTCTGGTTTTTTTGTTTTTTGAGACAGAGTCTCACTACATCGCCTTCAGTAGAGTGCTATGACATCACAGCTCACAGCAACCTCAAACTCTTGAGCTTAAATGATTCTCTTGCCTCAGCCTCTCAGGTAGCTGAAACTACAGGCACCTACCACGATGCCTGGCTATTTTTTGTTGCATTGTCATAGTTGTTTTAGCTAGCCTGGGCCAGACTCAAACCTGCCAGCCTCAGTGTATGTGGCCAGCTTCATAATCACTGTGCTACAGGCACCAAGCCATTAAAAGGTTTCTTGTGCTTTACCTTGTACATTTCTGAAGAAGGCTGTTCTTATGAGAAATAATGGGAAAGAGAGTTGTGGATAATCGACTTTGACTTGCCTGTTCAGTGAAACCCATAACAAACCAACAAATGCAGAGTTAAAAGTAGAGTGCTTAATATCTGCCATCTTCACGGGCATCATATTATATGCATACAGCAATAAAACCTGCAAGAAAAATTAAAGGCGTCTAAGGTGTGACATCAAAATTATAGTTTGCCTCAAAACAGACATAAGTTCTCAAAATCATATCCTTGCACTTTAAAGTTTTTATTTAGAAGAATTAGGATTCCTCCACCACTGCCCAAATTCACTTTAAAAAGAAATGATGTGAACAAGAATTGTGCAAAGGTTAGAAGATGAAAATAAATACGTGTACTATTCAGTGGCAATATTATGTTATTTTTGAAGAGTGACATTTGCTACTGCAATTAAGATTAAATTTCAATCTTTGCAGACCCTGCAGTATTTTTCGACCTTGTTAATCTTACAGTACACTTGAACCTATAGTTAACTTCTATGACGCACTTAAATTATGTTGATCAAAAAAAAAAAGAGTGAAAAAAAAAGAATATACTTACTGTGCTTTGAACTTCAAAAATAATTTGATTAATGATCTTTAAAAATTTTCAAGACATACCTAACGTCCTCTCACGGCACACCAGTGTGCCGCAGCACGCCTGTTGAGAATCACGACTCCACAGCAACCACTAAGCATATTGCTGGCGAATATCCAGCTTTGTTTCCTTTTGCTTCTCAATGTGTGGCTTTTCCATCAGAAGAGATGGCCGCTTCTGCTCATTCACTTAGTTGTTCCCTTCTTCCCCTCTCTATTTATCCAGTTCACAAATTTCCAGCCCCTCTCTCTAAGATGAAACTTCTTTTGATGATTTCTGCTCTAGAAATTTCCCTGTTTGGGTTCTGATAATTCTTAGAGTCAGGCCCGTATGATAAAGCACCTATTTTTGTCATGAATTTATAGAATTTGAGATTCATAGAGTCTTAGAGATAATCTGGTCTAATTCCCCCTCTTTAGATATAGGAAAGCAAAGACCAAGACTTGCCATTCAGTCAATGCTGACTACTTAGACATGTTGGGGTCAGAGAACAAGACCCCACAGTATGGCGGTTGGTGTGCTGAACACTTTTCCATGAAGGGAAATTGGAAGGCCTCAGAGGCTGCCTCTGAACCAAGGATTTTCTAACCTTCTGCTGTCCTGCCACTCCCACAGCACAGGTAGGGGCTCTCTCAGAAAGTCCCCTTACCTGAGTGACAAAACTTCTTCCAAAAGAAGGGCAATGGTCATGAAGTAGCTATTTCTAGGAATCTCATCAAATAATCAGGAAAGATTATCCCCTAGAGGAGAGAAAAGACTAAAAGTAGTCCCCAGTCACCAGACAGACCTTCCGTCTGTTCTTCTGAGGGCAGCTTAGCGAGATTACCTGGGAGACTTTAAACGCATGATGAGACAACCTTTTATTCAAAGGGATGCTCTACCCTCACCTTCCCATAACTTGTCCACAAGCTATTGTCTGTTCTTGGTCCCATTCAGTTTCCAAAGAGACTCATTTACAAACTACTATCCTTTGAGTCTATTTGGTGACCCCAGAAATTGTTTAATACTCCTCAAAACTGCCTACACACACCCGACTTTCCTCTCCCTTGTAAAGAAGGGTAGATAAGTTTCTGAATCTCACCAGGTGACTGAGTAATCATTTTTCTCTGACTTTCCTGTGCTCATGCACATTAATAAATTTGTATGCTCTTCCTCCTGTTAATCTGCCTACTGACAGTATCATTTTGGCAGACTTAAGACCCAAATCTTCAGCAGATGAAAGGACTTTCTTTACACCTACAGCTACATGCATTTCTCTCTGCTTCTTCACAAAGTAAACTAAGGATAAAGGGCTTCTCTTAAAAAAAAAAAAAGTGTAAATGGACAGAAAGAACAAGAGAGGGAGTGAAGGCGACGAGATGATGGCAACACTCTGGAGGACAGACAGCTTTTGGAAGAGGATAGCCAGCTTGGCAGAGAGGAAAGGCTGGGCGTAAGTGCCTTCAGCAATATGACTGAGATCCCTGGGGTGACTTGGGGACTGGAGGCTCAGATACCCTAGGAGGCAGGAGTGGGCGAAGTGTTAGACAACCTCCCCCCAGTGCCTTTTGTGGGCCTCCTCCTTCCCTTGCCTCCTCTCTCCGGGCTGAGCTTCTTCCATTTTGCTCCCTGCTGATGTAAAGTCAGAGAGGATCTGTACCGAGGGCCACTGAGTACAGGGGTGCGGTGTACTGAAATATTGGGATTAAGTGAAAGTCTGCATTCTGAACAAGAAACACTCCTCTACGTGCAATAACCCCTCCCAGAATGCAGGAAACTAGGCAGGAATCTCAAAGTATCCTCTTTAGGGAAACCAAAGAGAAAAGACTTATACATACTGACACGTCTCCAATGAGACTCCCGACTCCCTCTGCTGTCACCTTCCCATGAGGCCTATAAATCAGTCTAAGCCATAAGGCTTTCAGTGCCCCACTCCCAAAATGAACAGACACTAGACAGGAAATGAATAGATAATAGGAAAAAATATATGAGAAAAGTATACACCTAATCCAATAAGTTCAATATCTGAATAATAGAAATTCTAGAAGGTACCAAGATAATCAGAGGGAGTAAATTATTTTTAAAATTCTATGAACCGAAGACTATTACTTTTCATTTTGAAAGGCCCAGTCTAAGTATCTAGCACAATGGATGAAAGACTCTACACCAAGACACATCATGGAATTTCAATACACAGATAGCAGAGGGGAGATTCCCAGAGCATCCAGAGTCCCAAAGAAAGAATCAGGATTCTGGAAGGAGGCAGCCTTCTCAACAGCAATGCAGAATTGCCAGAGACAAGTGAATAATGCCTCTCATATGTTGAGGAAAATTAATTGGCAGCTTAGAATTTTATGCCTACAAAACAATGAATTAAGCATTAAAGTAAAGAGACCTTGTGTGAGACACTCAAGGTCTTTTTACCTCCTGGGTTATGACAGTCTGTCGCAAGCCTGTTAGTATCTCAGAGGAGTGTAGTCAGGGCACGGGCCCTTGGCCAAATTCGAATAAAATGTAATAACTAGTGATTAATGGAGTCCAGGCCTAGGGTCTGAAACACACCAGGGAGCAAACTGTAACTAACATCTTATCTGCATTTTTTATAGAAAACATACATATTGATAGCTGGCCTCTGGATTCTGTTGTTATCTTTACTTCTATTAATGAGTTTGGTCCCACATGTGGTTTTGACTACACGAACAGGGAGATATAAAAGACTCCTCCTCAGATACCAGAGAGCAGCTTGAGATCATATCTTGTTACATTTTGGTGGTTCATAATCCATAGATGAGCTGTGTCCTGTGCAACTGAGGGAGGACTTTGGAAGCTGCCTCTGGATATACCAGGTCTCCCTAATGATTTACTGGGCTTACTTTATCCTGCCATGCCTTAGCCTTTACTAAAGTCTTTCACGGGTATACCTTATGAAGTCTAGTGAACCCTTTGAAAATCAGAACCTTTAATAGACACTTTCTTGGGAAGCTGGAAGATGTGTGCATCTTTGCTCATAAGAGACCAAATCAAGATGGAGAGAAACATGAGACCTAGAAAACCCAACTCAGAGAGAGATGAAGGAATTCTCAGGAGGATGGTGAATGGGACTCCTAAGATGATAACTGAGCTATAGGAACAATCCGTCAGTGCAGGGTATCTCTGGAGAAAACAAAACAACAGGGCTGAGAGATAAGCCAATGAGTTTAGCCATGTGAAGAGGATTGCATAGCTCTTTGAAAGTCTGAGAAAAATCAGAGGATTCTAAAACTAAGTTAAAGAAATAGTATAAGGCAATTTTTTTTCTTCAAGAAGTGAGAAGCCAGAGGGAAAGGAAAAAGTACCCTATTTGGCTCAGCCACAAGGGATATTTACATATTTACACAAACGCTGACTGTGGTTTAAGGAGCTATGATAGAACTAGATTAGGGGAATGTGCGGGGGGAAAGAGGGTGTTAGTCATCTTCTTCCACAGTAATGTGCGACGGTGATGGCTCAGGAAATCTCGTGTGAGAGTAGATACAAGGGGAAAAAAGACCAGGAAAATAACAAAGATGGCTGAAAGGGTTGCAAATAAATGCATCTGAGGAAGGGGATTCAGGGATGAAGATGGCAAGGAAGAGGACTCTTCTTTATTCATTTAAAGTCTTTCAAAATGTGGTTTTTCACATTACAGAAAATTTGACAAAACCTTTTTTCAAAGAAAATGAAATGAGTCCTAGAGAAATTAGGCCAAGCCCACACACTGTCTTAAGGTGTTTGCTCTTGTTCTGTGTCTGTTAACCTTGACTTCCAGGGTGGAATATTTTACAAAATCCCTAAGGTGGGAGTGGTATCTTGTATCTTTTAAGTCATGCTTACAGTCCCTCATACATGTCAATTCATATATTCTTGTTTCTGAACTTTTCATTATGTCCTTGAAGGGCTATAAAGTTTTCTAAAGTATGTTACTGGAAACATTTAAATAGATAGCTTGCTTCATGCTTAACCCCTGATAATGAAAATAACTCCCCCCCACCCACTATTGACTGGCACTTGTCAATAGGATTGTACTGCAAGTTCAAAACCTTTCTAAGTAAGCCTGGCACAGACATGTGAATTCAAAGAGGAACAGTCTGAGATCAGAATAGACTTGAACAAAAAGCTAACCTCACTTGTGTAGTTGTTCTGAGTGTGGACACTCGCTCCAGAGTGCCTGGGTTTGCCTCCTCCACTCACTAGCTGTGTGATCTTGGGCAGGTCACATCAATGTTCACACTCCTGCCTCCTCATTTGTGACTTGGAAACATGGCAACCCCCATCCCAGAGGTTGGTGTGAAGATTCATCAAGCCACTGTAAAGTGCTCAGAGCAGTCCTCAGAGCACCATGCTTGCTGTTTTAGCCCACGGTCACTGCTGGCTCCTCACCTGTGTTGGCACCTCATTCTTTATATTCTCTTAGAACTACTGCTAAACCCAAATTCGCTTCCCATTAGATGTCCCTACCAATCCTTGTCTAATCCTCTAGTCCTTAGCTCTATTCCCAACTTATTCTCACTCTTCAGGGACAACTTTCATCCTATACCATTCTGCACACTCAAG